CGTGTGTGTGTGTGTGTGTGTGTGTGTGTGTGTGTGTGTGTGTGTGTGTGTGTGCAGGTGAGCAGGCTATTGCTACACTAACTATTGTATGTTTACTGGTTGTGTATTCATAGATGTAAATACATGAACATGCAGAACACACACTGGTGAGTATGTGTATGGCAACATATGCAAGCTAAACTCTAAACTAAGGTAAATACAGTCAACTTGTATCACGTATGACAATAACTATAAATTAAAATGTTCAGACACTAATCTTAAAAATGTTTCTGCTATCTGCAGATTTCTTTATGTTTCCCACATCCATGACTGGAGTACCTCATGGTGACACGAAACTCTCCACACCTGACCTACAACATTTGTTTCTGCTGCTGGAATACCATAAAGCCATTTGGGAAGTGATGCATTCATTCATATATAACTTGCAGTGGGTGAAATGATGTAAAATTATGGATTAACAAGCAACAGAGCCAAATTACAAAGATATCAGATGCAGAGTTCTTACCCTCTGCAACAACTTGTAATATAAGGAACGTGGGATTCCATCATTTTGTCTGCTGGCTTTTTATGTTAATTTCTGTTTCCACCTACGTAAAGGTTTTACTGGTTTTGCACACGTTGATCACCCAGAAGAAACATAAGCAGCAACTATAAATATGTAGTAAAAAGGTAAAAGAAAAGAGAGTGAGAGAAAGTAAAGACATTATTTGATTGGAGCGTACATTCATTTTAAATAAGTGCAGGCCCAACATGAAGCGCTTTGTCTGGGTTGGGAATTCAAAATGAAATAAACACACAGGAACCTCAAGTAAAGCCTAGATTCTGTAAAAGAGACACATTTGGATTTTAAATCTACTTTGAAGCAACAGCTTGTTTTTATTTTTATTTTTACCTCCTCCTAAAGATAAAACAGCTTCCTCCAGCCAAGTCCTCAAACATTTTAAGTAAGCTGTGCAAGAATGGAGAAACTGCAAAAGAAAAACTGGCCAAGATGTATCTAATTTTACAGCTGTGCAACTTTGAATATATTAAGAAAATAAACCGAACCAGATGGACAGATAAAGCCTATAAAATCAAAAATTTCACATAAGCTGAAATTCTTTGGAACAGCTGCTGATCAAAGTCATCCCGAATTTCTGTGGAACTCTGAACAAAAATAACAATGAAAAAAAAAACTGAACGAACACTTCTTGTTGCATGAAGTTAATACTTACTGTATTTCGTATGTAGGGAATTGCTGCAATACTCTAGAGCTGTTTTACCTTGCTCTTTAATCTGTTTGTTATAACTAATTGCATTGCATACACATGCATTACAATAAATAAGAATAATAAGGTTTTGTATTTTTAAAATAAGGAAACTAAATGTAATGTTTTAAGTGGGGCTCGTGGGCTTTGATTGTTGTTTATTGTGCTGTACTGAAGGGCACACGAGGACATTTGGAAATAATAATTTAATTAAACTGAACTTAATTATTCTTAATGCACCCTCTGCATTCATAGAACATAAGGTCAGGCAGAAAAACTTGCAGTTCTGAGCTGGAACGCTGCATTTTGCTGCAACAAAGATTAAGTTTAGTTTCATGGAAAAGTTTTCCATGAAATATACCGAGGACACATGCTCACTATTTTAAGAAGAGAAATCAGGACAGAATTCCACTTCACAGGAATACGAGGTCATGGAAAAAAAGAAAGATGTCTTTTTCTAAAAAAAA